AGAAATTAATACTCCAGTCCAAAGAACAGTAATGCTATTGGTAGGCAAGAATATATATAAATTTAGACGATATGAACGAATGTTAGATGTGCCTTTTACTTGTATAGCAGATGCTGAAACTCTCTCTACTCTGATTAAAAAAAATCAAGGATCGAGAACGAAAGCAATCTAAAAACATAAAGTTATATCATTTGATTATATAATTAGGCATAGTGATGGCAAAACTAAAGCGCAGCTAAAAATTAGAGATAACGATCCTGCTGGAGAATTTATTAAAGCAATGGAAAAAGAAGTAAAACAATGTCAAGACTTTCTCAGAGGAGGTCATATAATACGAAATTCTGCAAAGAATTAATCAAAATATTGCAATCAGGAATAATATCAGAAGAGATAGTAGAAGATTATATTACCAGTTTTAATATATTTCAATCATGGAAATTAGGTGAAATTAATCTTAATTTCAGTAAAGAATATGAGAAATTAATTCTTCTTAAACATTACTTAAAAGGTCTTTACCAAGCTTATAAAAGAGATCCTCTTGGAGTAGATATAGGAATAATATACCGTTTAGCAAATACAATTTATTGTAGGCTCCGATGGCCTGGAGAACCAATGAAAAAATTAACTACTAAAGAAGAAAAAATGCATAATTTTGCTAAAGAATGTTGGATATGTGAAAAGCCATTTGGAAAAGAAGATAATTTTAAAAAAATTTGAGACCATGATCATATTACAAGTAACTATAGAGGTCCAGCCCATAGTATTTGTAATCTCCAACTACGAATCAAACCAGAGGAGTTTAAATTACCAATTCATTTCATAATTTAAATAAGTTTGACACTCATCTTATTTCCCAAGCTATGGGAAGAGTAAGCGGAAAAAAGATAAGCACATTTCCTCATAATATGGAAAGTTATCTCACTCTCGATATTGGAAATCAAAGATATATGGATTCTTTACAACTTATGCCTAGATCCCTTAATTCTCATATATCTAACTTAGGAGCTGAACCATGTAAATAGGAAGTAGATAAAGATGGAAATTCTTTAAACTTACTATGTAAAAAGCCCAGTCATCTTTATCGAATTGACTCAAATAGATGTTTTGCTCATCCAGAGAGATTCCCTATAACTAGAGAACATAAACCAAAAGGAAGGAAAGACTTAGTATTTCGTAAAGCTCCTTTCTCATATGATTGGTTTAATACACCAGAAAAAATGGATACTACTTCTCTTCCTCCTATTGAGGCTTTTGACAGTATTCTTAACAAATCTAAATGCTCAGAAAAAGCCTATAAAATAGCACAGGAGGTATGGGAATCTTTTGATATGAAAACATTCAGAAATTATCACGACTTTTATCTTAATCTTGACGTATTATTATTAGCAGATTGTTTAGAAGAATTTTGCAAATTAATGAAAGATAAATTTGGATTAGATATTGCTCACTATGTTTCTCTCCCTTCATTTGCAGAAGATGCTTTATATAAAACTACAGGACAAGAGATTGAGCTATTTACTGATGATAATATATACCTCTTCTGTGAAAAAGGTATCTGAGGAGGTATTTCAATGGTAAGTAATCGTCAAGTTAAAGCTAATAACCCACAATGTCCCGATTTTGTTCCAGAGTCAGAAGAAGCCATGAAAAAACTCTATACTTGGCTATTATATGTTGATGCCAATGCATTATATACTGGAGCAATGATGCAATCTATGCCAATAGGAGGACATAGATGGATAACCCCAGATGAAACTCCAGACCTTTTTAATAAAATTACCAAGTGGGAGATCCCTGATAATGCAGAAAAAGGCTATATTTTGGAAGTTGATCTTGACTATCCATATAAATTACACAAAGCTCATACTTCATATTCTTTAGCTCTGGAAAATATCGAGATTTCTAAAGAGGAAATGAGTAAGTATAGACAAGAGATTATTAATAATTTAAAACATAATACAAAGACTAAGAAACTCATTCCAAATCTCAATAATAAGAAAAAGTATATAGTTTATTATCGAGCATTACAATTTTATATAAAGCAAGAAATGGTACTTATCAAAATTCACCGAGCTATAGAATTTAACCAAAGCCCATGGATGAAGCCTTTTATGGAAGAATTGGCAGATCTCGTACTTTAGCTAAAAATGATTTTGAAAAAAATATGTATAAGCTTCTTGGTAATACAAACTATGAAAAAACTGTAGAGAATATACGCAAATATCAAAGAATAGATTTTGTTAGACCAAAAGGAGAATCAAAAAAGTTTAAAAAATTAGTAGCTAATCCCAGTTATAAGTCACATAGAATTTTAGCAGAAAATTTAGTAGGTATTTCTCGTCATCAATCAAAAGCTAGACTTAGTAAACCTATCTTTA